CTCAGTCGATGGAGGGGATAAGGGTGAGGACAAATTGGGTCTCACTGAGTGGAAATACCCCAAAGACTAATCCCAAGCCACAACGATCGCGGAGGGTCTGGCGAGGCCGATCTGATACGAGTAATGAAAGTATACTGGTGCTGATGGGAGGTTCTCGTACAGGACAGGCGAGAAAAATGGAGGCACTTGATTTAACTTTCAGGATAGTTTCAGTGTCCTAAACTCAGGGTCAAGCAATAGTTCATATAACCGATGGACAGATTACTAAACAGACCGGCTTCTGCATTGCTACATAACTAATCTACTGTTAAAAGAGGCTGTTAGCAGCAACGCCGCTCGTTATTTTACACTGGGTTTGATGGGCTGCATGAAAAGAGCTGCAACAGAGGCGCAAAGCTGCAACTTTTCACTCTCTCTCTGGATTTAGTCCGAATCTGAATCTTCAGGTGTAAAGTGAAGCCAAGACTAAGGTCGTCTCAGTGACCGTCAAATGCCAAGACTGCTGGAGAAGACTGAGGTGGCACAAAGACAGGATGGAGTGGGCCACCCAGGTTAAATGTGGAACTCCTGGTACTCAGCCGGGACTCGTCATCCATTCCTCTAAGACTTTCAAACCTTTCCTGTCAGCCAATAACTTTGAACCCTGAGTACACATGTTTGATTTACCTCAGTTTTCATGTGCACTTCAGTAAGGTTGCAAACACTCGACACTTCATTAGCTCCTTTAGGGCTGTATAACAGATCAGGACTTCCGATTGGTCCACGCTCGTTTAGATCCAGGCTGTTCTAAACTTCAGAACTCGTCTAAATCTATATGCTATTTGTATCCTTGTGTGCCTGACTGTGTGCGGGAACACGTGCACTTCTTAAATCTTTTTTATCTAAACTAAGTATTAAAAGTTGTAGTGAACCCTGACCTGATGCGGGTGAAGGCGTAGAGGAGATACGCCGCCGTGTTGCCTCGGTCGTCCAGCATCTTATCAAACGAGAAGACGTAGTCGTTGTTGCGGTTGTGGGAGAGGTCGGCGTATTTGATGCAGCCGAAGGCGACGGCCCTCTGAGCCTTCGTGAGCTCCTCTGGAGTCAGGACCTGCAGAAAGAAGGTTTTCTTTTATTAAAGCAGACAATCTCTCCCCATCGCCGCCTTCGCCCGGCGTGCTTTATGGCATTAAAAATGCTGATAAGTGTCGTTTTAATCAGCTTGTAATTACTGAAGGCAGTGCTTCACCTTCTGCTTCCAACAGTTAAACCAGTGAGATGAATTTAATCCAAATAATGAAACCAATTTACAATCCTCGGGCAGAGATTAAATTGACTTATTGAGTCATAGCCTTCCCTCGAATCTGTGTGTGACGTGTTTGATACCGTAGGGAGTGAAGAGGAGGATTATGAAGATTTCGTGATAGTGATTAAAAAACAACAAAAAAAACTGCAGTCAAGCAGAACACAGCAGATAGAAGAAGTGACGTGACAGGACAAAGATTAATGGCACAGGTGAAAACAGGGCTGCGAGTAACGGGCAGGTTAGATTTAAGGTCAGATTTGGAACAAATGGCCACTTTTCCACTGCGGAAACTTCCAACGTTTACACAAACTGGCCTTCGTCTGCTCCTCCAGCTGTTCCCACTGTTACATACGATCAACTGAACTTTCAAATCATTTTGAGATCGACTGAAACACCAAAATCGAACTCGAAAAAACAAAGATAAATATGATGGGAATACTGGTTATGTAACGTAACTCGGGCTCTATGACCAGAGGTGCACAGAGATGACCGGGTTCAAGCTTTTCCGGCCGATGTGTCAGGAGGACATTTGTCCAGCTTCTGATTTTTTCAGATAATATGGAAATTAACTGTGAAAATATCCTGCAGTCTACATAAGGGTTTGAAATAGGGTTGGGCGATATTTTACAACAAGCGTCAGTCCAATAATCGACGATGGAGGCATATTCACGCATGCGCAGACTTTTGATGGGCGGAGCAATGTAATCATGCACGGACTGATTTGTGCATTTACAACACAGAAGAAGTCCAAACATGGACGAACTAATTTCCCCCAAAAAATTAGTGCTGTCAGTGTTGACGCATTAATGTGGCATTAACGCGGTCATCACCATTAACGCCATTAAAATTTTTAACACCCTCAACCCATCTGGAGCGCAGAAACGTTGGACAAACTGCCCGAAATGTGTTGACAGAGACATTTCAGGGATTTTGACTCTGTGCTCCAGACGGGTTGTTAATCACATTAGTTATGATGATGGTGCGCTAACGCTGACAGCACTAAAAAAGAAATATAAAAGTTTGCAATTTGGGATTTCTTTGGCTTTAAACTAGATGAAAGAGGTCAACCTAAGGATGTAACCAAAGCAGTGTGCCGCTTGTGCAGACGTATAGCGAGCAAAGTACTCAAACACGACTACCTTTGTTTCTTCTCTTGACTGCTTCCATTAGCTCCATCACTATTAGCAAACTGACTCAAATAAATAAATCGCCTTTGTAAAAACGGCCGCCGATAGTCGATATATTCATCCAATCGCCAAACTCTACTTTGCAGTCACTCTGCTTTTCTAAATTAGATCCAAGAGTCTGAGAGTGACTGCAGTGAGGTTGACTGTGATTGTTTGTAGACAGGTTGCCTCGCAACGCAACCTGTGCAATCAGCTTATGACCCAAAGTGGTCAAACAGCGAGTGGTCGAGTGTAAACCTCTGGTTGAACAGCTGTTTACAACATCGAACATGCGATCGCTTATTTTTCCTGAACAGAAAAACAAATCAAGCACTAAAACCTGCAGTTCCGCTAATGTCCACTAGAGGCCGCCTCCAAAAGTGAGTCAGTCCCCATGGACATGTTAAGATGACCAACCTTACAGCCGTAAATAAATCTTCACAGCCCGCTATTAAATACAGTTTTGGTCTCCATCAATATTTCCACCTTCAACAACTACAATGGGTGAATTTATGTAATTATTCCCAGCGGAGGAACAATTCTGGGCTTTGAGATTCTGGAATATAAAAATGTAAACATAAATATTTTATGAAATGATTGCAGTAAGTGTTTTTAATCATCCTGGCATTCACAGACATTTGTCTCCCGGCCGAATCTTCCATTTTCACTCCATTTATGAACCAATTCCTAAATTCAAATCCCCCTCCTGCTCCAGAGCCTCTAAAAGACATCAATGTGTTTTCAAAATTACCGCAGCAGATACAAGGTTTTCTCATTTTTGTCCCATCTATTCAAAAGTGTCGAGGGGAAAAAGTTTGAAGTGGAAATTTCCGAAATGTTCTATAAAAATATGAATCTTTAAAACTCTGCCTTCCCCTCCTTTCATTGCATTCTGCCCTGAATCTTAATCCCATCTTTCAAACGGGGCTTGATGTTCTTTTATTTAGTACTAGAAGGTGTATGTTACTTCGCTGAGCTCTCAGAGTGGCTCCAAAGAAACAATAGATCTCATCCCCCTGGTAGCTGTGACCTGCTGATTCAAGGACAAACCTTCAATGTTTTATAAAATCTTGGATCCTTTATTGAATTACAGCAGAACAGAGCGAGCTCTGAGAGTTTAAAGGGAAGCCTCTATAATCCAAGACTGAGAAGCCTCTACTCTAAGAGTGTAGGAGAAAAGAAATAGCCTTAAAGACACATTCAGACGTTTAATAAGCTGGAGCCAGAAGTACTCGACAACTGGTACAAAGACTAGCCAACTGATTACTCGTCTTATCAAAGAAAGGAGTTTTATTTTAATTCTCTTTGTATTTAGTCAGAAATTAAACATATTTATCACCATTTTTTGCTCCTAATACACAATTATTTCTTTTAAATGAGATATCCTGATCAAGGGGTGCAGTGATTCTCCAAAACCAGCGTCTGGGCCCGACCCATTTTTCTGATAAGATAAGATAAGATAACCTTTATTAGTCCCACACGTGGGAAATTTGTTTTGTCACAGCAGGAAGTGGCTTGATGTGTTTATATTAACATTTACTCAGATTACATGCACATCTTTGGAGTAAGTTTTACTTACATGTGGAGCTGCTGTTTTGAAACGTGAGTGAGGAAGACTGATGATCTTATTTTGATGTAGTAAGAGGAAGAGCAACCATTGAAGAGTGCAGATTAGAGAAAATCCTAAATAAATTCCAACTCGTGCACCCAATTCTTGTTTTAAAAGGTGAAGATAAAAATAAATGTATAAAGTAAAACATATACTAGAATCTTTAGAGGATCTAGTGTCGTTAGGTCCAGAAAACCTGATTACCAGGTCGCACAGCTTAACGGGGTGCTTTAGTGACCTCATCCACCATATCCAATCAAAACGGAGAACCAGGAATGAGAAATGCTAAAATAATCATAAATATAAACCTTTCTGAGACCCTCAGAGTCCAGCAGAGTTATAGGTGGATGTTTATGACCAAATGGGTTTTTGACTAATATTCTACTCAACCTGGCGACACGTTAGCGTTTTATGTACGCGCCTTGAAAATAAGCGACTAATCAGCTGAGCTGTTACATCCAGCAGATTCTCAGACCAGTTTAATCGATCCCAGATTCCCTGAGTGTTTGTCAGTTTGCGATGCTGAACATACGTTAGCTGTGTGACTTTTTCAGAAAACCTGACCTCTGACCTTGAGGTTACCTGTAGAGGCACCTGTGGTTTTAATTTGAATTTAATTCATAAACACTGCCTGATGCCTGCCGAGCGCTTCAGCCTGATGGAGAAAAAGAATTAACGGCTGAAGTGGTTGAAGGATTATTTTAAACAGTGAATCATGCAAAGCTACTTCGCAAATAAAAATATGGAGCTAGAATGAGGAGAAGAGGCCCCATCATGCTTAGAAAGGTTCCTGCTCTGCACTACGAGCTAAAAAAAACCCCCAAAAACTGAGCTGTAAACTCAACAATCGGTCCCTGCAGCGAGAGATTCTTACAGTCTGGTCTGAAAGGCGCTTTTCTAACAGCCACAAAAGGACAGGTCAGGGCCGGAGAGGCCAGGATGTGTGTGACACACGGGGCAGGATGAGACAGGAAGGGCCAGAAAATAACAGGAAATAAAAGCACCAAACACAGAAGACAAAAAATGAGGAGAGAGCAAAGTGTGAAACATCACAAGTGCTGAAAACAAACATGAAGGAGCAGCAGTGTTAGAGAGCGGGCTGCGGTTCACGGAGGCCACGGCTGGGGTTTGTTTTTAATGAGGCCGGGTTAGCAGATGGTAGACGTGGGCACCGACCCAGACGGAGCGAGGAGCGCCGGGCCGGAGGGGCCTGCAGGGGAGCTGGCACCGGCTTCCTGCAACCTTCTCAGCATTAAAATTGCTGCAGTTCAACTGAAAGTCAGCGACTGCTTGCACCACACCTAGTGCTCCACGTAATAACTTAACCGGGTCAGGTTCTCTTGTTTTTCTCCTCTTTAAAAAATTACATATAAAAATCTCCCTGCAAGTTTAACATCACAGAAACACCTCAGCACCAGCAGGTGAGACACGGCGAGTCAAAGTAACGGGAACGTCGAGAGCCTCGCTGTGTGAGGCGGAGAGAGCGGCTAACATGGCCCGGGGAGGGAAGAAAAGGATGTAAACAGGTATTTTCTGAGTTGAATCAGGCAGGAAACACTTCCCACCTCCAAACAACCAAACAAGCAGCTCTTAACGAGGTCCGGGCGAGCCAGTGATGGAGGATCGGGGCCGGGCGGCGGCGGCGTGGTTTGAGGAAACAGAGAGGAGGGAAAACCGGACGGGAAACACGCTGGCAGAAGTTTGTTTTTCTGAAGAATGACTTTAGAAAAAGGAAAATAAACAACTCGAGGCTCGAAAGACTCAAAAGACTCGAAGGACTCTCCGCTGACAAACGCTCAATCCACCGAAGATAAAAAAAATGTGAAGTCTGACATTCGTCTGAGCTCTGAGCCCTGAAATGGGATCGCTGGGTCATCAGTCAAAACGCAGAGGCGCTCAGCAGAGAGTCAGGAAGTTTATGACACACAACTTCCTGCTTTATCTGTGCAAAAACTTCCATTTAACACAGAATATCTGCTGAACTCAAGCAAACTCAGGCAGTCAGCTTCCCTTTTACCCTCCACTAACCTCTGGTTTCCCATGATGCACTTTGCCTCTGTGTTTACACACCAGTCAGCTTTTTATCATTAATTATTACTAATCTCCGTCCCTCTTCCAGTGTCTTTGTCCTCCTCTCACCCCCAATGGCTCTAACAGAGATGGCCCCGCCCCTCACTGAGCCTGGTTCTGCTGGAGGTTTCTTCCTGTTAAAAGGGAGTTTTTCCTTCCCACAGTCGCCAAAGTGCTCATAGGGGTCATATGATTGTTGGTGTTTTCTCTGTATTACTGTTGGGGAGGACTCTTATATACACTTTACAGTATAACACACATAGTATACTATATAAATACATCTGAAGGGAATATGAAGACTCACTATGGGAATGGATGGAAAGTAAAAAGAAGACGAGGAAAAACTTCAGAAACAAGGAAAAGTGGGAGCATCTAAAGCACGACCACATGGTGATGAACGTTAGCTTGTTTTTAGCGATGTCGTAGCTATATGAGCCGTTAGACGCACGTGTCACATGACTTCAGTTCAGGATCACCAGGTAGCCTGACGAGCACATCTTTGGACTGTGGGAGGACAAAGAAAGAAAAAATAAACATTTTCTGTGTGTTCTCCTAAACGTCGATGTTTTTAGTTAACGAAGCGAAACGCTCGTCCCATCGAGCCTCTGATCACCAAGCTTCACGTCTCCCGTCCGATTCTCCTCTCGAGGTCTTTTTAAAGCTCCACGTGTGTGTGGTGAATATTTAACCACGAGTCGTCCTGCTGATTCAAACTCGATCGATGGCGGGAAGTCTTTTTTTATTCTTCCTCCTGGGTTACATCTGCTGGAATAACTCCTGTTATTGCGATGATGTTATATCCATATTCTGTGTCAAATATTTTATCTTTTATAAGCAGACGTTTGGAGCGGCGAGGGACGCCGTCCAGCGAGTCGCTCATTATTTCTTCCCCGAGCCCGGCTTTCGATTCGCTCCGACGAGGCTTATTTTACAGCAATGACCACCTCGCTCTACAGTAGCCATTAATTCTTCCCGCTCTCATCCCGCTCAGAGAGCCAAACTTGGGAGCTTTCTCATCTCGTCCAGACACACTGAGGCTGAAACGCCACCGCCCGGCTGCTTCCCTCTCATCCTCTCAGCCCCGTGTGGTCCTTTCATCCTCCTCTGCTCATGTGTGAGCTCAAACCTCTGCAAACACTTTTCCTCTCGGCTGTTTTGAGTCATTAATCCAAACAAGAGCAGAACCGTTTGTGTCTGATTGGTCAATTTCACACTGATCGTCCGCTGATGAGTCAACAACAGGAAAACAATCATTCCGGTTTGTAACCTGATCTGTTTTTCATGCTCTCTTTGAGCTCTCCACCTCCACCACACGTTAAAGGAACACGTTTAGAAGTAGCACCGGCTCTTCCTGCTCAGAATACACTGGTTACCTCATACTGGGCTGTACTGGGACCCCAGGTTTGGTCTGTTTAAAGATCCAATGGGATATTCCCATTGATAACCTGTTTTGTTTTTTTTATGTACCAAACTGTAATATTCAGACGTTACCAGCAGCCTGTGGACCGACCCGGGTCCAAAGAATGTGGCGTTTCTTTATGTTTGAGCAGTGATCATGAGGAAAAAGTTACATGCAGCTCGTTTTAAGGTCACGCTGCAAGTTGTTATTGTATCTATTTTATAATAAGTTAAGGCCCAAAACATTTTTACTGATAATAATAAAAAGACATTTGATGATTAATTCAGTCCATAATATGGCCCTGAGAAGCATATTTACGATGTAAGATGAGGAAAACATCCAATTTTCAATATTGTCTTCTTTAAAAATCTGACCTGTTACCTTCTTGTTGTGCCTACTTTCAAGTATTTGTAGGTAAATATAAAGGTAGATTATTGATTTATTAAAAATAAAATGAAATTATGTTTAATTACACCCGTGTTATGAAGTGTTACCTTTTTTCTTTTCATTTCTTTGTGCGCTTTTCTTATGTTGGAGTGCTTTTGACCTCTCAGGGCCACCGTAGAAATGTTCTTGCTTACGTCATCTCGTGGAAATTATATCTGAGTTGAAATGCTCGTTGGCCAGTTAGTTACTCTAACTGGGACTGTTGGTGAGGGCCGTCCCAGTTTCTCGTGTGGAGCCTGAACTCCTCGCTGCCGTGTGAGGATTTTCTTAAACTTCCCATCAGGTTTTTGTTCTGCCGCGTCTGCAGCCTCACCTTGTCTCGCTCCTTCTCCTTCAGCTTGTCCATGGACCTCTTCAGTCCCTCGTCCAGCAGGTCCATCAGCCTCACCGTGTCTCCAGAACGAGTCTTAAACTTCTTCCTGTGGAGGAAACGGCAGAAACAGCGGCTCAGTGCGAGGACGCCGGGTTACAAACCACCTGCAGGGGAACCAGTAATGGAGCTGCTGCAGTTTCACATCCCCAACCTGAACCAGCAGAGGTTCCACTTCCTGTCTCCAATAATTATCATGACAGCAAACTATTAGATTACTTCTGCTCGCCTCGGGGCGATACATTTTGTACAATCAAGCAAATCAGCTAAGCATTACAAGCCGAGCACGAGCCAAAAATTTAATAACCCCCGCCTCCCCTCCCTCCTCTGTTTACTCGCAGCTATAACGGCTCCCCCCGTGGCTGCGTTAAGCTCTTATTGTCTGGATGAGCGATTATGAGAACAGCGTGATAAATTTCTAATGGAGTCTGCCATAGTGCAGACATAGTGGGGCCAATTTACGCCCCCTCAGGTTACCGCGGGGCATTTAGCGGCACTTAGTTATGGCCTCCGCGAAGCGTAACGTCAGCCCGCCGCCTGAACCCGGCGCTTCTTCTCAGGTCGATTGATTAGGAATAAACAACAACGTGACAGATAAGCGGTCAAATCACAAATCTGCTCACCAATCAGAGCGCAGCGATCGCTCACACGACGACACGATAAAACCCAACGCTCAGAGACGAGGTGCTCAAACTGCACGACGAAAAAACGGGAACGCGGCGGGAAAAATATATCTGAGGTGTTAAAGTTTATGAACGTGATGACTTGGAATCTACAAATAGATAAAAGAAGAAGAAGAAACAAGAGGAGGAGGCGTGGAAGAAAATGGAGGCTTGATATAAGCAGCGAGAGGACAAAAGAACAGGAGGACATAAAGACAGTGGAGGAAGAGTGAAATGAAAATGTTGAAGAACAAGAAGAAGCTCCAGAAAAGGGAAAAAAAAATCAAAGAAAAAGTTAAAGCAGCGGCAGAAGAAAGAAAACGAGGAAATAAGTGGAAGAGAAGGAGGAAAATAGGAGGAAAGGGAGAAGGAGGAGGAGTAGACGAAGAAAAAATGAAGATAAAGAGGAAAGATGGAGAAAGGAGGAAGACGCTATGGGAAGGAGAAAATGAAGGAAGCGAACGAGCACTGCTGAAGGAGGAAATAAGTGGAGGAAGAGGAGGAGTTAAACAGAAGAACAGAAACATTTAATTAAACAAGCAGAAGAAGAACGAGAAGAAAGGAAGAGGAGGAGGAAGGAGACAAGTAAAGAAGATGAAAGAGGAGGAAGGAATAATAACAACACAGACTCTGAGTGAACTTTTTCATCACTGCTGTCCTCCTCTTGCTCCTCCCCTTGCTCCTCCCCTTGCTCCTCCTCTTGCTCCTCCCCTTGCTCCTCCCCTTGCTCCTCCTCTTGCTCCTCCTCTTGCTCCTCCCCTTGCTCCTCCCCCTCACATGCTGAGTAAGGCAGGCTCTGCGATTCGCTGCAAATGACTAAACTGTTTGTGGGGCAGTGGCTGAAAATCCTGCGTTTGATTCATCGACGCAGAAAAAAAAAAAAAATAAATAAAACGAGCCTTTATGTGAGCAGCGGGAAACACAGGAAGTCTGCCCGTCTGGCGAGCAGAGACCTCGGATCTGAAGTCGGCTTTGGACACTTTTTTTTTTTTTAAACCCCAAAAAGCAGTTTTATTGTTTTAGTGTTTGTTACGTGTAGTTATTCATTTACTCGTTTACTTTGTGGCATTCCAAAACCGCCGCAGAGCGCCCTCTGGTGGACAAACTACATAACGCGGCTGTAGGGCGTTCCTCCCGGCTCTTCATTTATCAGCCAATCAGGCGGGCTCTCATAATTGAGCCCTATTTTAGAATTTTGACTTCCCTAACCATCCACGGATGAGGTCAGGGGCGGAGTTATAAGTGCGCAGTGGGCGTCGTCCAAGGGCAGGACCTAACCACGTACACCTCTGCATTGAATCCATGTAGAAACTATGGCGTAGCCTTCGCGAGCGGCCGACACTAAAACACTAGTGGCAGGCTGTCCCCGGGGAGGCGGTCCTTTTAAACCTCAGAGTCGTCACATGATCCACCTCAGGTGCTTCAAACCCCACTCACACTTTGTCCCCAGTGACAATGCCCCACCCCTTTTTTCCACCCCTTTTCTCAGCACCACCTCCCCAGTGTGTCTCCACTCGGTGATGTCGTACCTGGCAACAGTCGGGTACCTGCGGCCCTCACACAGCACTCAGAAAAACAAACTCTACTGTCAGAGCGTGTTTTGAACTCACTTGTCCTCCCCCAACACCACTCCAAAGCCAGCGTGCTCCACCCGGGTCACTTTGGGGTCGTACCAGCCGATCAGCTGAGCTGCGGCGAACACCACCTGGAAGTGCGTGCTCTGGAGGGGAAAACACACCCTCCAAACGTCATGTTCAGGAAAGAGACGGAGCTCAGAGTTAAATCCAAACCCTCTGTGGTCGCGTCTCCACCTACCTGTCCACTGTCAGTGACGTAGATGATGATGTCGGCCTTCTCTTCAAAGATTCGTTGGCGAATGGCCGCGAGGTCTGACGTGTCGTAGGTGTAGCCCCCGTCTGACTTGACGACGGTGAGGGGGATGGGCTGCCCTGGGGGGAAGACGACCTTACGACCCTCGTCGAGCTCCATCAGGCCTGAGGTGGAGATTTAAAAGGATGGAGGTGGTTTAATGAGAAGGTCCAGTCAGTCCAAAAAAGACAAGGAGATAAAAACAGGAGGGCACCAAACATTCATGAGGCAATGCTGCCACCTGGTGGTGACACTCAGAAACTACAGGCTGCACTTTATTATCCACTGAAAGAAGAAAAACTGATTCTATAAAGATTTCTATTAAAATCAGTGTGATCAAGGGAACAAATAAGCTCTATTTCTGGTAACCCTAAATGCTCAGAAATGCCCTCCGTGACCTTTGACCTGCTGCACACTGACCTTTCTTCTCAAACTCCTTCACCACCTCAACCATCAGGTCCTGGTAGTACGACTCTCCTCTCTCGATGAGCTCGATGTCCAGGCAGTCGTAAATTTTCTGAAACTCTGGAGAAATAAAAAAAAAAAGAAATAATTAAAACCTGTCACAGGTAGACGGGCTGCTCTAAAGAGGGGGAGGAGCTCCAACGGGTTAAACCGTCCTCGTGTCACATGACCAATTTAAGGCCAGCGGCTCTGAATGAGGGACGAGTGTTTCATTCCTGTTAGCATGAAAGGCTAAAACCCGACGTACCTGTCCTGGACACGTCACAGATGAGGTTCCAGGCTTTGATGAACTCCGGCTCTTTGCTCTGCAGTTTGACGACACACTGGTACGCCCGCTTCTTAAACTCCTCGTCCGTGTCAAAGCGCTTCTTTGACTCCTGAACGAGAGCACGAGAGACTGTCAGCTCCCTCGTTTCACTGTCACAGTCAAAGCTGAGGAAACGTGTCTCCCACACAATAACTCCAGTTCATCTAATGAAGCCACGAGAACATTTTCCCCTCACACTGAACATGTTCAGAAGCCTCCGGGTCGGTTTAATTTGGGGCTTATTTCTTATTTCTGCAGCATTTCTGAGCTTTAATACCTTCACAGTTACAGGAAACGTTGACATGAAACCTTCAGGGCTGAAGAACGTCTAAGCTGCACCAGATTCATGTCTGTACCCGAACATTTGATCAGTGTCATGAATGCAGAAACTTCAAAAAGTGCATTCTGGGCAAACTTTCAGGGCTCGCATCACCATGTGGGACAGGTGGCTGTCCCAGGTCAACTTTCTTTCAACATCTTTTTGTGTTTGAGTCCGTTTTTTTTTTTTCCACAGAACTTAAATCTGTTTTTCAGCCCTGAAAGTTTCATGTGAACATGCGATCGTGGCTCAAGAGTTGGCAGTTCGTCTTGTAATCGGAAGGCTGCTGGTTCGAGCCCCGGCTGTGGCTATAATGTAGCTGCCATCACCAGTGTGTGAATGTGTGGATGACTGAATGCAGTGTAAAGCGCTTTGGGGTCATAGGGACTAAGTGCGAAGTTATGATGGTTAAAAAACTGCACTTGGGGTAAAAACCTTAAAGGGTCCTTTTTACCCTTTAAGGTAAAAACCTTAAAGGGTCCTAACCCCACATGGGATTTTCCCAAAAGCAGCCCGATCACACACAGAGACGGGATGAGCATGAACTGACTTTGTAGAAGGCCTGCAGGTCACCGATGGGAGGGGAGACGGTCAGGTAGTCCGGAAACATGTCCTGCAGGTGGGCGATCAGCATCCCAAACTGGGTACCCCAGTCCCCCACGTGGTTCAGCCTGCAGAAATAAAAACTAACTTTTTAGATTTTATTTCTTGAAAGGTTTTTAACGTTCGCAGCTACGACACAAGGAGCGCGGCCAAGCTGACCTGAGGACTTCGTATCCCAGAAACTCAAACAATCGGCACATGCTGTCCCCGATGATGGTGGAGCGCAGGTGACCCACGTGCATCTCTTTGGCGATGTTTGGAGATGAGAAATCCACCACCACCTGAATGCAACACAAACACACAGGAACTGATAAATGCAGACGCTGAGACGGGTAAACCCATCACAGGTGAACTCAACCAGCTCCACGTTTTTATTCCTGGACTCTATCAGAGCAGCTTTGCATGAGTCATGGTTCATAATAAGCCTATTTTATGTTTGATCAGTGCCGTTTTGGTGTGTTTAATCAAACTTTTTGACATCCGCCTTAAACCACACACGTTTTTACTTCCTGTCACAGCTTCAGTTTAAAAGCAATCTTCTTCTTTCCAGTGTTGCATTAATATTAATTTCTGTCTCTATAGAAAAAGCTTATTTTGGATTCTCCCTCATTCACATCCTCCACCTCCTCCTTCTCTTCTCTGCTTTTGTGAGCATACACACATTTTTTATGTCGCACTTTATATGAATAATTTCAACTCCACACAGATAAATGTGAACGTGACTTTTACTGCACCAAAATAATTAAATGAGTAAGCGTGGTTCTTTATTTTTGTAACTGAAATAAATAAATTAATAAAATAATCTAATCTGTCCATTTTCTGGTTCCTGCTATATTAAACTGAGCTCCTCACCTCATCTCTGCGTCCAGATTGCCTTCACAGGAAGCTCATTTCTACAAGTTTTATGAAAAAATTTTATTTATTAAGAAAAAAATGTAATTTTCCTTTTCACAACTTGTAAAAAATATTTAAAATGTGAACCTAAAATCTGCTGTAATTTGCTTTGATGTCACTCTATAAACTGTTATTGTTTGTGTGCGTTCGTGGAAGGCTTTTATTGTGAAAGGCAAGGACCGAAACAATAAAACTGGTGGGCGGGGCCTCTGTGGTACTCTCTTTGACATCACACAGAGCCAAGAGTAGAAAAAATGCGCGTGAAACTGTGTTGAATACCAGATAATTAGACACAAATAATTAAATCAAATGTTAAAAAAGGGATCAAAGACTTCCGAGGTTAACTAAAAAGGAAAAACATGGCGGGAAAATGACTTCAGCATGTGCACAGACCTTCTTCTTGGATGGCAGTGGTGGGGGTTGCACTCCGTTAATCAACAAGTTGCTCAGCTGTTTGGACACAAATGTCTTCTGCAGGTAGATGTTGATGAAACCTGAAAGAGAACTTTTTTTAGACTCACTTTTTAGGCGTTTATTTACTCTAGTTTTAAATCTTTTAATATTTATACAAAACAAAGAATTATTTCTCTTTAAATATGTACACATTTGACAAGGTTCTAAATTAAATTAAATTAAACTAAACTAAACAAGAAAAAGTTGCATTTCCTGCGAAAATGCAGTGTGAATGCCGTGTCGTGGAAATCGGCTTCCGAAAACAGCTGAAGAAGCAGAACTGTCTGCTGAAAACATGCTGCAATGGGCGAGAGTGGAACCAGCCCTCCTGCTCATCTCACTGAGCTAAAACACAGCTCAACACAGCTGGCATTACCAGAAAGAGCTGAACAGTTTAAAATTTGAATGGTGAAAACTGTCGGAGTAGTTAACCAGCAAAGAAACGGAGCAACTAGAATAATAAGGTAGAAGAAGAAGAAAGTTTAAAGAGAAACAGGAACTTAATAGCGTTCCTGTTACTATAATTGTGTGAATGCCGTGATGTCTGTGTTGACATCATTAAAAGGCGGAGTCTCTACCTGGCCCCGCGACCTCCGTTTTCTGGACGAGTTCGTTGTCTGGAAGATTTTTGATAATCTTCTCTGCGATCTCCCTCGGGTTCATCTTTATCCCCTTTGCCTTCAGCATCTGCAACCCGACAGCCAGAGACAGTCTGAAGCAAAGCTTTTTAATCTGACCTGCTGAGACCAGGGGCCCGTTCTTCGTACCTCGCTAAGTAAGTTAGCTGGATTAGATTGTTGACGATTTCGCGTGATCCTGGATCAGTCGGTTCCCCGAAGCTCATCCGGGACTTGCTGTCATAGCAACAGAGCCGTAAGCGTAAACCTGCTCGGGAGCAGGTTTACTTTATGTAAACAGGATTAGATCGCGGCCACGCAGGTATGTCCGCTTCATTTATACGAAAGCAACAGCGATATTCCACCACTGTTTCACCATAAATAAATAACATCAATGTAACTAAAGATAATGCAGCACCTGATCCATTTATTGATGTCACACAGATACATACAGGTCATTTCCTAAAAAAGGGAAATGAACTATTAACATTCTATTACATGTATGTGATTATTACAGATGTAATTCATATTTCAGAGTAGTAATTGTAAATTACTTCGTGTAATCAAGATGAGAGACCACGGCTATAAAAGCGAAGGTGGATTTGGGAAGTCTGTCGCAGCCATGTCCTGTCCGTATACGCGACCAACCCATTGCGGAAGGTGCAAGATTGATAAGGAGAGTCCTCAGAATCCAGCGTATATTGCGGGATAGACAGGATCCTTTAGCTCAGCGCGACAGTGTGCTCATTGAGAGATATCGATTTTCCCGTGAGGGTATTATTTACTTAACCAACTTGTTGACGAGGGGGTGCAGGACCACCACCTGTCTTTTTTTCCTCTGCCCTTTTCTTGGTTGCTGTTATGAACAAACTAACAGAGTATTACAGGCCAGTATTACCTTGCCAAGAGACGAAAAGCAATCTAAGAGATAAATATTACCATTCTGTAGAATACTCCTGTATTCCACTTTTACTTGTTCCCATGTTCTTGTGGGTCCTGTTGTGGCTCTAATGTGAAAGGGGATATAATATAACATATTATAATATAATATAATGCCATATGATATTGGACAATATAGTGTCATATGATAGATCTACCCTACCGCCTACTGGTGTTGGCCAGAGGGGCCGATGGCACGATATGGCAGCCTGGCTACAACCGTAGCTGCCTCCACCAGTGTGTGAATGTGGGAGTGAATGAATAGTGGTATCGTAAAGCGCTTTGGGTGCCTTGGAAAGCGCTATATAAACCCAATCCATTATTATTATTATTATTATTAAATTACCTACGAGTTTGATTTGTCAGCAACTTTCTGCCAGCCCTCTCTCCTTGCTTTTGCAGCCTTTGCAGTGTTCTCTTGCGTTTTAATTAAACTCTGAAACTCCTGAAATCCCTCACTCATGAGTTCTTGCTCTGCTGCCGGAAAATACCGAGCACGCCCCTTCGACATTTTCGCCGACCAATCAGCGGGTTGCCGATCACTGTTTCTGCTATCGATGCGTAGCCCCTTTTACGACACCCAGTGACCGCGCATTACTTCATCCAGCTGTAGTAATCGTCAACAGCAGGTGTTTTCGGGGAACCGGATTAGCGAGCTCACGGTTAGCGCGATGATTTGATCTTGGATGTGTCATTTGATCTTGGATGTAGTAAGCGACGTACGAAGAACAGGCCCCAGGACTCACTGCACTGCTCAAATACAATCCTCTAATTTGACTCAATGCAGCTGCAGCTTTTAAAACTGTAAAAATCATAGTAAGCTATTAGAAATCACAATAAGCAACCAGAAATGAAAATAAGCCACAATAATTCATAACAAGCCACCATAACCACAATAATTCATAATAAGCCACCATAGATCATAATAAGTTGTACAGTGTCCTTGGGTGCTTTGAAAGGCGCTATTTAAATAAAATGTATTATTATTATTATTATTATTATAAACCATTAAACATAAACTCGTAAGTTTTCAGGCGTGGCGGTCTAACCTGGGACATGCTCATGGCGCTGTTGCACTGGTAGTCCCCAAACTTGGCCTGCTGGCTGGGCGCAATAGAAAGTGGCGGGTTGTCGAGCTCGGGGCAGGAGGCCTGGATGGCCTCGCCGAAGACCTCCTGAAGTCGCTGGTTGATGTTTAACATGGCTTTGCCGCGTTGACTCAGTGAGTCTTCCTGCAGACTCTGAGGACAGCACAGAAAGGTTTAATGGTTTTTCATCAATGTGCTTTTCTCAGGTTAAGATTAAAACGCCTCAGGACATCTTTCAGCAGAGCGCCACTCACCTTCTTCAGGATGTTGAGGCGGTACTTGAGTCGGGCGTTTTCCTCCTGCAGCTCTTCCAGGCGTGTAGATGGACTGAGGTTCTGGGAGTTTTCAAGATTTTTGATCTCTGCAGACAGACGCTGGATCTCTTGCTCCTAGATATCAAAATATTTCCAATTTCCAAGAAAGACACTGAGAAAGAAAGTTCCAACTGGAGCTGCTCAAGAAGCTTTAACGCGCTCCTATAAATAGTAAATATTTTTACACCGAGTTCCAGCCTGAGAAAATGCTTTAGGGTCTTAAATGCTGCCCATTTTTAAAAGGAACTGTGGAAGTATAAATATTTTTACCTCTATGGCTACGAGCATTACTTACATCAATGATCATTAAAAGAGGACCGAGTTAGCACCCTGTGGTACACCTCAGGAATTATAAAGACACATATATTCATAACCTTTAACTCTTTTTCTGTATTTCACTGTTGATCTCTTATACACCTGTTTTTGATATTTGTAAACTACTGTGCAAAAGTCTTGAGCCACCCCTAAATTAAAAAAAAAATCTTTTTCTTTGGATATTAGCCGTTTCGTTTTTACTCCAATATATATACCTGACCATTATCAGATGTGGGGGGTGGGGTATGTGGTAAGCCAGTTAACATGACCATGAATCATTTAAGTATGAAACAAGGAACTTAATTC